AGAAGTCTAGACACATGAAGATAGTTCTCAGTCCATGGTAGTTATGGAAAAAAGAAATGGCTAGAAGGTGGGTTTACTGTTGTTGTTGTTGCTGTTGTTGTTGTTGCTGTTGTTGCTTGAGACAGGATCCCATTATGTAGTTCAGACTGGCCTTGAAACTCACTGTGTAGTCCAGGCTTGAAACCTGCAGTGATTCTCCTGCCTCAGCCTCCCAAATGCTCCCACATGCCTCCCACATCCAGCTTTTAGAAGATGCTATTAACAAAACTCAGTGATGGATTAGATATGGGGCAGGGGTTGACAGCCACTGGGGGTTTTGGCTTGCCCAACTTGGTGATGAAATGATGTCATTTACTAGTATGGGGGACATAGGACAATTTTATCAACACCATCACTATATAAGAAACTATCAAGGACAAGGATGCTCACTAGGCATGAAAATGTGATGTTCATGTGAAAGACATTTCATGCCTGCGTTTCAGCCCTGATCTTGATCATTCCCTTCCAAACCTCATTTATAAGCGAGGTATCCCATGAGGGTTTTTCTTTGTTTGTTTGTTTTGGTTTTTTTGTACAGGGGCTAGAATTTGGGACCTTGCACTTCCGAGGCAGGCAGTGGCACCAACGAGCTAAATCCCCCGCGAGTCTTTTTATTTATGGGAATTGAACTCAAGGACTGTTGAGCTACATCCCCAGACCTTTATTATTTTTGAGATGGGGTCTCACTAAGTTCCTGGGGCTTGACTTGGACTTGTGATCCTCTGAGTAGCTGGGATTATAGCGTGTCCTGGTCCATGAGTCCTAGTCTTGCCTCGACATTCATTAAAATAAAAAAGATTAGTTCTCCTCTCTAGGCCTCGGTATTTTCAGTGAGACCAAGAGTAAGCTGAACCAGGTGGCCTCCAACGGGTACTACAGATTAGGGACATGGATAGTCGGGGGGCTCTATAAGTGAGGTCTTCGGATACGGTGGTCCCACAGGGAGCTTAATTCTCCACGTACTGTTATCTCAAAGTGAAGCCTATCTTCAGACAGTAGAACACACGCACCAACAACCCGTTCCCAAAGCAGAGTACATGCACTCCGGGACCCCAGCCCTAGCGTCAGGCAGCTCCCGGAGCGCGCTATTAGCGCTCGCGTTCCCGCGGCCTCCTCCTCACCAGCACCAGGGCGCGGAACGCAGCGCCGCCTGGGCCGCGCCAGCTCTGTTGCCGGCCTGCAGTCACTGTGTAACTAAGCGGCTGCCTTCCTCTGACTCTGAGCAAACGCCCTCTGTGGTCCCCTGCGGGAGGACTCGCGGTCAGAACGCTGCTTGTGCCGTGATGCCTTTGCGTGGCTTGTCGAAAATTCCATGGCTTTTCTAAAATGCCTCGTGGAGAGCGGCCTAAATAATAAAATGCCTCGTGGAGAGCCGGTGCTGTGTTGAAACCCAGAGAATCCCTGAGAAACAGGCCTCTAGCAGACCATCATTGAGATATCCCTATCCAGGGCCGTGATCCTTTGACACAGTTTCCCCAGCTTCCCTCTGGCCATCATTTGAGTGATAAATGAAGCCTTGTGCTATGTTCAAACCCCTCCCGCTCTGCCCTGCACCCTGCCGCGAGCCCCTCAGCCAAGGAAGCAACCAACAAGAGTGAAGAGTGGGAAAATTTTTTGCCAGGTATTCCCCAGACAGAGGACCAACATCTAGCATATATAAAGAACTAAAAAAAAATTAGGCTCTCCAAAGGAAAGACCCAATCAAAAGATGGGCAACCGAAATGAATAGATACCTTTGAGAAGAAGCACAAATGGCCAATAAATACATGAAAAAATATTCAACATTGCTGGCCATTGGAGAAATGCAAATTAAAACTATCTGAGATACCATCTTACCCCAGAAAGAATGGCTATCATTAAATCTAACAATAACAAATGCTAGCAAGGATGGGAGGGGAGGACTCTTCTACATTGTTTGTGGGACTGTGAACTAGCACAACCACTATGGAAATCAGTGTGGAGAGTCCTCAAGAAAGTAAAAATAGAAATTTGACCCAACTGTTCCTCTTCTAGGTGTCTTCCTCAAAGGGTTAAAATCAGCAAGTTACAGGGATAGATTTCTACCCATATTTATAGTAGCACAATTTATAATAGCTAGATCTTGGAAATAGCATATATGTCTACCAACAGATGAACAGACAAGGAAAATGTGGTACTTATACACAATGGAGTACTACTCTGCCATAAAAAAGATAAACTTGAGGCATTTGTAGGTAAATGGATTCAACTTGAGAACATAATGTTAAGTGAAATAATTCTGGCACACAAGATTAAGTATCACACAGTTTCTCTTTTTTTTTTGTATCAGGGATTGAACTCGGGACCTTACGCTTGCAAGGCAGGCACCGGAACTACTCATACAGTTTCTCTTGTATGAGAACCTAAAAACAAAGCAAAACAAATATATATAAACATATATACTTATATAGTATATATGTTTATATATATATGATCAATAAATAGGAAGTTGGGAGAAGTTCAAATAATTCCCCAAATTACCTACTCTGTTGTTTTAAAAATATTTTTATATATGCTAATTTGTTTCATTTATACTACTAGTTTCTCTTAGTTCACTGAAAAGAAAGTTTTGAGCTATTATCTGTTAGTTTCTTGTTTGTATGAATCTTTTCTATGTCTTATACTCTGAGTAACTACTTGGAAGATAATGATACACAGTGTATTAACTATTGTTCTCCTCTTATTATTTTGTTATGAAAGTGTTTTTTTATAAAATAAAAAAAATTTATAGCAGTTAATGAAGCTTGAATAAAATGGGAAAAAATGAAAAACAAACAAGTGCCCTCAAACTTTCTCTTCCACAAATGAGCGAGTTTGCTCTGATGAAGTCCTTCTATTTTTTTTTTTTTTTGTACCAGGGATGGAACTTGGGACCTTATGCTTTCAAGGCAGGCGGCGGCCAACACTGAGCTAAATGCCCTGATGAAGCCCTTCTATACTTCGATCCCTCCTCGGAGTGTAGTGTTTATCCCCCTGTGGTAAACATGCCAGTTCTATACAATGTCCGCTACACTGTGATTTCTTCTTTCTAAGGGAAACTTAGGCGAGTCGAACTGGGTTCCTGGCCAGCTGATGTATTAATTATCCTTGGTCAAGTGCTAATCCTTGCTTTAACAGCTGTCTGGGCTTTAGGAGAGGAGGGTTTCTGTGGCATTAACCAGAACAGGTCAGGCTGGTGCTCCTGAAGGTAGCTGATCCCTAGTGTCCAGCAAATGGTGCTAAGGGTGCATTTGAACAAGGAGCTGAGTCCATCAGAGCACAGCTGAGCATTTTTGTAACTATTTGATCTCTCTCCCTCCCTCCCTCTCTGTCTCTTTCTCTCTCTCTCTCTCTTGTCAAATGATGAGCTAGCTGCATAGCAGCACAGAGTAGGTGTTCATTACTTACTTTTCAGACTAAAGAACAAATGTATGAATAGGGCTGAAAGCCTACAGAGTCAAGAGAAGCTGGAGAAGTCAGCAGAGGACTTAAATGAATCAAAGGTTTGACTGATCCAGTTCTGAGTCAGCCACGTTCTGAGTAAGCAGAACCTGTGTTGCAAACAGACACCCGAGGAGATGCCGTGAGAGCCAGCAGTAGTGAGCAGAGCACGCAGGCACAGAGGGAGTGACTGAGTCACACCCGAGTGGATTCACAGACTTGTGGCTGAGGTTTTGGGATTGCCTTACATCCACAGGCACACCCCATTCCTGTGACCCCAATTGCTCATCTTCCCCTGGGTTTCCGTAAATATGCATCTTTACGATAAATCATTTTTTACTAAAGGTAACCTGAATGAATTGCCACATCATGGTAGTCTCGGCTTTGGGGAGATTTGGGGACAGACAGGTGCCCTGAGGAATCCAATTATTCATCCTATGAAGAGCAAGATGCCTTCTGTGAGCCTCGTGGTGGCAGACTCTATGGAAACGTTCTGACATCAGAATTTGAAGTGGAGACACAGCTTAGCTCAGTCTTGAACCTTGTCATCCATATCTTATTTACCATATTTTATTACCACACATTTGTTCATTTCTGTTTGTTTTGCAGAGCTGGGGATCAAACTCATGGCCTTGGGCATGCTAAGCAACTGGTTACCACGGAGCCACTAAGTTATGGCCCTAGCCTCCATTACCTTTCTTTCTCTGTTTATTTATTTAATAATACTAGAGATTGGAACCAGGGCCTCATACTCTGCTATGGAGCTGCATCCCCAGACTTATTTATTTATTTTGAACCCAGGGCCTTCACACTGAGCTAATTCCTCACCACTTTAAATCTAAAAATTTTAGACAGATTTCATTAAGTTGCCCAGGCTGGGCTCGTACTTTTGATTCCCCTGCCTCAGCCTCTCAGTGCTGGGATTCGAGGCATGCACCACCATGCCTAGCTCCCACGTTTTTTGACAGGGTCTCACTATGAAGCCCAGGTTGGCTTTAAACCGGCAATCCTCCTGTCTCAGCCTTCTGAGTGCAAGAATCATAGGTGCGTGCCCCCATGCCCAGCAGAAAATCATTATAACTCCTCAATCAGGGCAAATTGGCTACATCTACATCTGAAATAGGAGCTTAGAAAAAATTATTTTTAAATAATATTTATGAAGAGTTAGAAAGGTAGTTGTTTTTTGTTTGTTTGTTTGTTTTGAGACAGGGTTGTACCATGTAGTTTAGACTGGAATTGAACCCTGTGTAGCCCAGTCTGGCCTCAAACTCATTCCAGTCCTCCTGCCTCAGCCTCCCAAGTGCTGGGGTTATAGGCATGTACCACCATGCCCAAGATAAATCATTTTGATCCCCATCAGTACCTACTGCTTGATCATTATGAATCATCACTGGTTAACACTGGACAGCCAAACTGTCAGTTACCCCCATAGTCTTGACCCCATTTTGATGCCCATATATGAATTTTCTATTGCTGCTGTGACACACACAGCGGCCTAAACAAACAAATTTACTGTCTTATAGCTCTGTCTGGTAGAAGTCAGATATGGACCTCATGGGGCTAAAAGCAGAGCTGTATTTGTTCCCTGAAGCTCCTAGGGAAGACTCTGGGTGCTCATCTGCTTCTACAGGACGCCTGTATCCTTGGCTTGAGGTTCCCGGCTTCCCTCTTGAAAGCCAGCAATGGTGAGTCTTGTTTCCTTCCTGACCCTCTCCTATAGTACATCTCCCTCCTACTGCTCTCAGCTAGGACAGGTTCTCTGCCCTCAAGGATTCCTGAGGTTAAATGGGGCCCACCTGGAAAATCTGGACTAATCTCCCCATGTCAAGGTTGTTAACCTTCATTACATTTGCCGAGTCCTTTCCAACATGAGTTAACATATTCATAGGTTACCTTGGATTTGGACATAGATCTTTTGGGGCAGCAATTACTTGGCTACAATACTATAATTACCAATTCCTCTGTGTTCTGATAATATCTAGCTAGGAACAAGGCAGCAATCAAGTGTGTCAAAAAACTCCAAGTTGCTAGAAGGAGGGGGCCTTACAATAAGAAATAGGATATGGCTCTTTCCACTGAAGGTCAACAGGAAGGGAAGAAGATTCCCACGTATTCAGTGTCGTTCACTTGAGTGTGTCAGGAGAGTAGATTGAGCTCATTTACCCTTCACAGCAATTCTTTCCAATGAATAGATCTCCATTTTATAGTTGACAAAAGTGACACAATTGGATATACCCCAGGCAAAGGGCTCCCTCGTGGGCTTTAAGGTGGGCTTTCTTGGACTCTTGTTTTCTTTTCTTTCTTTCTTTCTTTCTTTCTTTCTTTCTTTCTTTCTTTCTTTCTTTCTTTCTTTCTTTCTGACAACCTCTTACTATGTTTCCTGGGCTGGTTTTGAACTCCTAAGTCAAGGGATCCTCCCACCTCAGTCTCCTAACTGAGATGATAGGCATACATCCGCATGCATGATAGGCATGGACTCTTTAAAGGTGGAATTGGGCTGGGCATGGTGGCACATGCCTGTGATCTCAGCACTTGGGAGGCTGAGCAGGAGGATTGCTTCAAGTTTGAGGTCAGCCTGTGCTACATAGTGAGTTCAAGGCCAGCCTGAACTAATAGCGAGACCCTGTCTCAAAAAAACAAAACAAAACAAAAACCCAGAAAGACTACTAGACATCCTTATTTTTTCCAAAAGAGACATGGGTAATCCTGCCATTTCCTTAAGTGAAAAGGCTGTGAATCTGAGCACTGCCAGTAGGGACTTACTGACCAAATCCATGCTCCAACCCATTCTCTCTTTCTCTCAATGTCACTCAGTGAACCTGGATCCAGGAAGCCCGAGAAGACAGCCTAGAAATACCCTCCAAGAGACCTGCTCACCCCTCTCCTACCCAGCTGGCTCCTATCACCAGCAAGCGTAGAGACCAGGCTCTCTAAGGGTGTCTTCTCACAGGCGAGCGAACTAGAACGGCCTCTGAAACCAGGAGTGGGTGTCATTGCTGTGTCCTGAGCCCTGCCCCTCCTCTGTGGGGCTGGGGACCCTCCTGTTCTCCCCCGACTCTGCCTCTCTTTCCACACTTCCCGTGACCCTCTCTGAGCTGACTGTTTGATCAGCAGCTTTCCTTTCTGCAGACTGTTTGCCTGTACTTTGGTCATCCTATCTTGTTCTGCCCTCTGATATCTATTTACTCTTGATTTCTGTGGATTAATTGGCCTTTGTCTTATTACTGCCCAAACCCTTGCATTTCTGGTTGTGGCCTTGTTCTCTCAAACTCTCAGCCTGCTGTGCCCTCAGTCAGAATGCCATTTCTCTCCAGATTCCTATATAGGCAGAGCCTGCACAAACCACTTTGGAGCCAGCTTCCCTGAGGCCCTTCTAGAATCAAAAGCAATTTATTGAGATCAGCAATATTCTAGGATTGTGATTTTTTTTCTTATTCTTTCAAATTCTTAATGTTTGGATTTTTTAGTGTATAATGTGATTTTGGTGTTTAATTTGTATTGTTTGTTTGTTTGTTTTTAAAGACAGGGTCTTGAATGTAGTCCAGGTTGGCCGTGAACTCATGATCCTCCTGCTTTAGCCCCCCTAGTGTTGGGATTATTGATGTGGGACACGGTGCCTGGCTAACTTGTGTTCCTGCATTGCACTCTTCTGCACTTGAGAATGTCATTTGGAGAAGCCTGGCCATGTGCGATTCCTTTGCTATAGTGGTACCTGTCCCCTCTGCAAGTAGAAATCCTGGTGTTTGGGCAGGACATGGCCAGTATGGTCACAGTCAACACCACCCGGGTCTCCGCCCCTTGGTTCTCAGGTGGGATGGAAGGAGCACCCCTGTGGGCCCAGCTCTGAGGAGCCTTGCGGGAGGGCATTCTGGGATGAGTTAATTAGTTGGCTGGATAAGGCAGCTTGTAGGCTTCTGAGCACGGAGCCACAAAAATCTGAAGGACCCTGCCAAGGGTTGAAGCTGGAATAGAAGACCAAGATTACCTCAGGGAATTGCTTAGCTAAAGTGATTAGGCAGAACAGCAGAAGCTAGGCACTTGATGACAGGATGGGAATGGAGACCATCAGGTTAGAGCAAGTGGTTTGCGTAGAAAGTAGGGGGTGGAAGTTAGCAGTCGTAGGCTTTCTACAGAGGTTTTTTTCAGCTTCTATGAATTAGGAAAGAGCTATGGAAGGGCTGAGCTATTTTAGACAAAATCTGAATATACTTTCCACTACTCTGCTTTCTGGCTCCTTTGTTTTGGTTGCTCATATCCTGTCTCCATCTCCAAGCCCTCCTCTGGCTGTAGGATTTGGGTTCCAGGAATATCTCTCAGTTCTGCTGCCTTCTATGATCTGGACATGTTCCATTGTCTTAGGTGAAAATTTGTATGCTTTAACAGACATCTCTGCCCCAGCCCTTTAAATAAAGGTTGACTGCATTCCCTTCCTCCAGCCACCATCAAGCCAGGAAGGTGGTGACCCTGGAGAGAAAACACAGGAGCCGGGGGACCGAGCAAGCCCATGAGAGTCCACCATCATGTTTGGGGTCCTGGGCCCCCAGCCATCTTCTCTGCCACTCTGCCCCTGCTCCAGTCTGTTCCCCTCTGGCCTGTGTTATGGTACCTGGAAAACTCACACAAGTTGGCTTGGGAATCTTACACAGGGCCCACTAGCATCTCTCTGTCCTCCACCCCAGGAAGTCCTTCAGGATACAGTGTCCCTTTGCTCCCTCTTGTTCCTTGGATCCCATGTTCTTCCATCTGTATTGCTTTTAAACCCTCTAGGACAATGAGGGTTACAGGCATCCTATTTTGGTTCCTCTAGGTTGCCAAATACCATGATTTCTACTTGCAAAGGAGGTGGATCCCCGTTACAGCAAAGGAGTTCCACATTGCTTGGCTTCTCCAAATGACAAGTGGGAACAACTAAAATCCTTGTACCCAGCCGCTAAACTTGAGTGTCTTTTATAATTACATTTAAGGAGAAAGCAAGGGCATTTTTCTTTCTATCATTGGCTCTATTCATGTATACCATATATAGAAAACACATGAATTACAAGTATACAGCTGAATGATTTTTTGCAAAATGAATATGTCCCTTCCATCAGTACCCAGCTCAAGAAATAGCACATGATCAGCACCTGATCCTCTCATGTCCCCACCTGGCCACTGCTCCTCACATGAAAACCACTTTTCAGACTCCTAACATGATTTCTTTTGCCTATTTTAGAATTTCATATAAATGGAATATATATTATTATTATTTTGTGGGTTTTTTTGTTTGACATTATGTAGGATTCATCCATGTATATAACTATTGCTCATTCCTTTTTTTTTTTTTTTTGGTATCAGGGACTGAACTCAGGTCCTTGTGCTTGCGCAGCAGAGGGCGAAACCACTGAGCTAAATCCCCGGCCCTGCTCATTCTTTTTTATTGCTGTATAGCTTATTGTATGAATATATAGTCTTTATTCATTCTATTACTGTTGGACATTTGGATTGTTTCTAGCTTTTAGCTATGATGAAGAACCCTGCTATGTACATTCTTGTGCATGTCTTTTGATGAGCATATGTATGCATGTTTGTTGGGTATGTGCTTCAGAGTAGAATTGCTGGGTAAAAAGTATGTGCATATATTCGGTTTTAGTAGATACTGCCAAACAGTTTTCCAAAGTTGTAACCAAGGAGATTCTTTTATTTTTCCTAAACCTCTGGGAGTCAGAAGGAAAAGGTTACATAGCACCTGCCTACCTCTGCATCCCTTTGGCTGCTGGTGGTGGCAGGTGCAGTCTGAAGCCAAACTTCCTTCTATTCTGGATTGATTTTTCCAGACAGACTTTCTTCCCAAGGCACAGGGCTAGGACAGTACGTGCCACCTACATCCTGCTGGCTGCCAGAATCCTGCAATATTGGACTTAACATGGAGAGCCTCAGCTAAGTCAATACCGGACACCAAGCCAAAGGGGTTAGCATAGCAGAAAGCTGGGCAAGAGGTCAAAGTCCCAAGGCCCGAGGAGAGTACAGTAGGGAGCGGAGTGGAGTTGACAACAATAAAGAGGGAGCTGCAGAGATCAAGTTGGTACATAGGGCCTCGAACCCAGGGAGAGGAGGAGAAAAGCAAAAACAAAACAACCACCACAAAACAAGCAAGCAAAGATAGTGGAAATGGGCCTGTGGTTCATGACTGGTCTTTACCTACCAGCCTGGCCTAGAGTGACACTGGTCAGCCAAGTTGAAAGACATGAAAAATATGAAACAAAACAAAGCTGAGTAAGCCCTGTCTGGAAATGTCTTTTAAGAATAATTGCAAACTTCTGGGAACTTGAATGGAGAATGTGGGGGTGGAACAAACACGGTTTTCTGACGGAGACGTACTGTTTGTGTAACACAGTTCTCCAGGTCGGCAGCCCTGCTGGATGGAGACAGATCGCTGGGGCCTCGGGTCCCTTCGGTGTCTGTCAAGGACGCCCGGGGGGGCGGCGGGGGGGGGGGAGTCTCACAGGCACTCCGAGGGAGGGCCGATTCGCGGACTCATTTCGTTAGCCCCAGCTGGTGCACAGCCACTTTTCTGCTGAAGAGGGGAGAGATGTCTTCCTCCCACCTGTTCCATAATTAAGCCACAAAAAAGGCCCTGTTTCCTCCGGTGCCTCTAACGGTACAGCACTTTCATTTGAGTTTGTTTTTCACTTAAACAAAAAAACAACCGAAGTGACAATGTGAGTGACTTCACAATGTGCCGTAATCAAAAATCATCTCTTCTCATTTTTGCCAGGCACTTCCCCCACCCCCACCAACCCTTTAATAACAAATACTTATTGTGTGGCCTTGAACAAGTTACTCAACCTCTCTAACATTTAATTATCTCTTTCTTTTTTTTTTTAAGGTTTTTTGAGACAGAGTCTGGCTATGTATCTAGTTCAGGCTGGCTGGCCTTGAACTCACAGCGATCCTCCTACCTCAGCCTCCCATGTGCTGCGATCACAGCCATGTGCCAGCACATTCAACAGCCTAATATTTAATTTTCTCATGGGTAATATGGAAAGAAAAATACCAACCTTTCAGACTTATTGTGAGGATAAGATAATATGTATAGGGTCTAGAAAAGGGACATTTTCAAATTCCCCTCCCCATTTCCCATTTTCCTTCTCCCGTAAGGGAAGAGTGGCTTTGACCAGGCCATTTTCCCCAGTGTTCAGGGCCATGTGGGCTGTGCGTGAACCATGTACCTGGTGTAGCTCCTCTGGGGCCTTCTGTCCATCTCCAGCTACCAGTGCCTGCTGTCAGAGTTGGAGAGAGGGAACAGCCAGACTTGGTTCACCTTGGTTCAGCTGGCATCCGTTCTGGGTAGGCCTGGTCCGGGCCATCCTGCTGGGGTCCAGTGCTGTCCCCTTTCCCATGCACTCACCCCTGAGTCTCTCCTCTCTGCAGTCCTCTGTGATGGTCAGAGGGAGGTAATGGCCACAGGCTGAGGCAGAACTCAGGCCTTCGTGGGGTTCTTGACTTAATGTGCTCTAATTGGGTTCCAAACCAACCCTAACCTTCCACATTGTTGATACGATATTTTGGTTATCTATTGCTGTTTAATAAAAGCCACTCTTAAAAATATTTTTTAAAAAAGGTCTCATGATAACGTGGATTGGCCAGTGACGTCCTGCCGGTCGGTTCCGCTGCTCTCATCTGGCTGTGTCACTCCACTGTCGCCGGACATCTTAACTCATGTCTTACCCCTTCTCAGCGGTGTGTGGAGGCCAGGCTCTCAGGGATGCTGGCAAGGCCAGGCCTCTTGCTCTTACCACATGGCCCAGGGCACCTCCCTCTCTGCTTGAATTTCTCCAAAAATGGTGGCTCAGAGTATGAACGTGGAAGCTTCCAGGCCTTTCTAAGACTTAGGCCTGGAACAGGCACAGCATCTCTGCTGCCATATTCTGATTCTTAAAATAAGTCATATGATGCCACATGCCTGTCGTCCCAGCTACTTGGGAGACTGAGGCAGGAGGACCTAAGGATTACTTTGGGTTCTTTTAAATTTTTTATTTTATTTATTTATTTATTTAAGATCTCAGGTTTGAGGCCAGCCTGGGCAACTTAGTGAGATCCTATCTCAAAAATAATTAAATAGCCAGGCATGGTGGCACACATCTGTAATCTTAGCACTCGGGAGGCTGAGGCAGGAGGATCACCGTGAATTCGAGCCCAGCCTGAACTACATAGTGAGACCCTGTCTCAAAAAACCAAAAAAGGTCTGAATAAAAAAATTTTTTTTTAATGTTAAATAAATAAATAAGGCTGGGAATGTAGTTTAGCAATCTCTGCCTTCGATCCCCAGTACTACAGGAAAAAAAGTCATTGACCCACCCCTGGCTGCAGGTGAGGGGTCTGTGTATGAGCATCAGGCCAGAAGGCAAGCTCCACCGGGCAGCACTAATGTAACAGACTTCATAGGAAATGTCAGTTTTATCATTTATCTCTAGTTACTACGTTGAGTAACTGAATACCTTGTCCCTCCCAGCTCAGGGCAAGGTGCCATCTCCATCAAGTGTCTTCTGAGCGGTCAGGGTCTTTGCCATGGCGCTGCTCATGCCCTGGGCACCTTCAGTGGCTCTCTCTGTGTGAGGTCTCATTTATAATCATGCAAATCAAGCCTTTGTCAGCCTCTCTGCTTAGATTTGATCTCAGAGGGCTGTGGAAAAGTTAGATAAAATCATCTGTGTACATCGCGTAGCGTTATGTGCCAGTAAATAAATGACATGGTAATTGTTTTTTTTTTAATTATTAGTATTTTGTTACTACCAGAGTCTCCAAGGCATTGCACAGACTATGATAAAAATGTAACAAGATGGCTTTGCAATGTCACAGCTCCCTGGGGCACCTGAGTGATTAGTGCTCTAGAAAGTGAGGAAAATGCTGAACTTGAGATAGCAGGGACAGAATGGGTCATCAGCTGTCCACAAACAAGATAAAAAGAGAAGCAACCCCTGAGTCCATTGCAGGAAGTGTCAAACCAAGAACAACTGAAAGAAAACATGGAAATAGTCTGAGATCAGATGCATAGGAAAAATAATTTAGTGGAAGACATCAGAACAAGAGGAGGAATTGTTTATTTCTTAACAACCAGGCTCCCAAAGGTGATGGGGCCAACCTAGGAGGAAGATTATCTAGAAAGGAAAGAACGAAGCTTGTGATGGCTCCTACCTGTAACCCCAGCAGTCAGAGAAGCTGAGCCAGGAGAAATGCATATTTGAGCTGATCCCGGTAATTTAGCAACTTAGCAGGATCCTGTCTCAAAATAAAAAGGGCTGGGGATATACCTCAGTGTGAAGGCCCTGGGTTCAATCCCCAATGGGGCGGGGGAGAGGAAGAAGAAGAAGGAGGAGGAGGAGAGAAGAGAAATAAAAGAAGGAAGGGAAAAATAAAATGAAGAGTGGCATTTCCAGCTTGAATCAACCAGAGCCAACTAGATATTATTTTATTTATTTATTTTGCAGTAGCAGATGAATTTTACTTCTAGCACCTAAAGCTATACAGAAGTACACTTTATAAACTTCAAGGGACGGTCGTATACATTCAATAAAGTGACACCTTTGCAATACCACTCAGTGTCTCATAATCAGAAATCTACTTTTGAATTATGTAAACACAATCCACAGAATTAAAAACAAAATCAGAAGCCAACCACAATCATACTAAATTGCCAATTAAAAGTTTTACACTTAATACTTGATAAAACAGTCAATATCTTTTTTTTTAAACAGTCAATAGCTAGCCAGGCATGGTGGTGCATGCCTATAATCCCATCACTGCAGAGGCTGAGGCAGGAGGATCGCTGTGAGTTCGAGGCCAACCTGAGCTACATAGTGAGTTCAAGTTCAGCCTGAACTGCATAGTGAGACCCTGTCTCGAAAACAAACACATAGGCAGAAAGTCAGTATCTAGCAGGGATTACTGAAAGTGGTGTCAGAGTGTCATCCTATTGTAGTCTGAGGAGAAAATTTCCGGAGTAGGGATGTGACTGGCCAAGGCTGGATACATCCAGGACCAGACCAACATGTACCATGTCCTTAATGATATTATTATTATTATTTTTTTGAACCGGGGATTGAACTTAGGACCTTGTGCTTTCGAGGCAGGCGGTGGCACCACTGAGCTAAATCCCCAGCTCCTTATCGGCAGAACCACTGAGCTAAATCCCCAGCCCATCCTTAATGGTATTATTTTAAAGGGAAATGGATTGGAGCGTTGCTCAGAGAGATGGCTGTTGGAGCCCCAGCCTGACAGACGCCTGAGGCCTCCTCCCTGGCTCAGGCCCCCATTTCTGCCCTAGGTCCCAACAACTTGAAGAGCGCTGCTTGGTATTGTTTACCTTCAACCAAGTTTGTAAACTAAGGTTACAGGGCAAGCGCTAATAAGTATATTTAATCACTGTATTAAATGAATGACCAAATAGCTAGATACAGGTTATTCCTATTGGAAGGAAGAACTGAAAATAGAACACAGATTGCCATCTCTTTCCGCTTCATTTGCATCAGAGAAAGAGGAATTTCTGAACAGAAGGGGAGCAAAATTCATGGGGAAAGACTTCAGTAGTAGGCTGAAAAGCAGGGCAGTCATGGGAATCATTTAAGTTGATTTTATCACAAACACAGCAGGGAGGGTCTGTGAGGTCTTCGGGTGCTAAATTAGTGTGAAGCTGTACAGCCATAGAAATGGATCAGAAGAGATGTTTGACCCTATTTATAAGATGCAATGTAGTATTCATTTATTTTATTATTCTGTGAGTATTCATGTACAAGATCCTGTCTGTCCTCATGGAACTTATTATATTCTGGAGACAGATAATAAAAGAATCAATAAAATAAGTAAAAATGCAAGTAATGATAAATCCTATGAAGAAAATAAAGTTGGGAAAGGGGCTAGAGAGTGACTGAGTCCCCACAGTATCTTTGTTCCCCGTGTACTTAGTGCAAGGGAAGGCTCCATAAAAGGCAAGTAAATAAATGAATAAACAACCGCCCCCTCCCAAGTACAAGTTCTCACCGCCTCATGCCTATTTCATTGCCAATAGCCTTCATTTTCTCTTCCTTTCAAGCATAATGTGGACTGCTGTTTGATTTTAAATGATTCTTTAATTAGGTCACTTTTCTACTCCAAAACCTTTAGTGGCTCCCTATTGCCTTTTCCTCTCCGCTATGTTTAAAGGAAGTACTATACTTACCTGTCACTGAATCTTATTTACTGGTTAATGTTCTTTCTTTCTTTCTTTCTTTCTTTGCAGTCCCGGGGATTGAACCCAGAGATTGCTGAACTACATCCCCAACTCTTTTTATTTTATTTTAAGACAAGGTCTCTCTAAATTGGCCAGGCTGGCCTCAAATTTGAGATTCTCCTGCCTTAGGCCCTTGAGTAGCTAAGATTATAGGCACATGCCCCCATGCCTGGCTCTGAGATGACCTTCTAACATTATTATGAACCTAAACAACTTTATAGGAGAGCAGGTAATAAACTAAACTTATGTCACTCACTCTAAGCTTTGGCATTGAAAATGGCTTGGGAAAGAGTCTAGGTCAACTCCATTTCCTGGATGAGAAGACTGAGAGGAAGCAGATAAATTGCTCAGATATAAAGACTCAGGATTCCCAGCAGGCCCTAGCAGGACTGGAACCCAGGCCTTCTGCTTGCCACTGTCCTTCCCCATGATATGGACATGCATTTCTGCGGGGTTTCATCAGAGCACGCATGCTGTTCGTAACCACTTTGTTCCCATTTCCCACCCTCAGTGTGCACATTCCCATGTAGACACATAAACCATGTTCTTGTCATTTTTGGTAGCTACATGACATTCCGCTATATCAATACAGGCATTGGTCTCTTATGAATCACCATGTTGAGTTGCACAAAGAAAGAAAACAAGCCAGTACTAGCACTGTATTATGTCTCTAAAAATAAGATAATCGGCAGTGACTTTGTAAAGTATGTTAAAAAAAATGAAACATTCTTAATCTGTATTACTCATATTTTCTAGAAGTGAGATGTGATCATTTGTGTGTTTTTAAGTGTTACTCTTATTTAAGTTTTTAAGTATATAAAAGGAGTTAAGCCATAAATATGCACAAAACATGAAATGGCTTTGCATTGAAGTCGAACTCATTTACCAATAATTCAAAATATGTACATATTTATGTTTCTGATTGTTCCTTGTAATTTATTTCCTTGATCATGGCTACTCTGCATTTGGAAATACAAAAAGGTTTTGTGAACTATTATTCCTCTCCCCCATCTGGAAAGTAGAATCTTACAAAGGCGAATACCTACAAAGTTCATTCCATATTTCCTAAAATGTCTCAGGATTTATGACATATTTTCCAAAGTCATTGTGAAAATTAAGGCCACAATATCAGTCTAATGATCACTTTGTGGTATTGTTCTGTCTTGTTTTCCTTGACAGTTATTATTACAGGAAGATTTGGATTTGGTTTTGTTTTTGAAACAGAGTCTCTTTATTTTGCCCAGGTTTGTCTCATACTTGGGAATTCAAGTGATCCTCCTGCCTCAGCCTCCCGAGTAGGTGGGACTGCAGGTGTGTTCTACCGTGTTCAGCAAAAAAGCAGATATTTTAGAAAAGGTTTCAGCTTATATTAAAATTTGGTATTAAATGAACTGCTTTGCATCCAAATCAAACTTAAAAGTAAAGGCCCGGACGAGGAGCGCACGGCCGGCCGCGCGAGGGGTGACCGAGCCGGGCCGCAGCTCGCGGAGGGCCGAGGCCGAGCCGCACCCGTTTGCCGCGCCCCACGCCGCGCGTCAAGGCCGAGGCCGGAGGATGAGCTCCGCGGGGTCCGGATTTATGAAAATATGCATCAGCTTCATACTGTCTTGGAATTCATGAGATGGAAGCAT